ATTTCTGAAATTATTCGCTTGATTATTCTCTGGAGTTCATATACCAGAAACCGCTAGAGAACGCTGGGGGTCCCACTGAAGAGCCGAACCCCTCGCAGCTGTGTCACGCAGCGGCAGAATATCGGCGAAACACGTGTCTGGGCTTTTAGCAAGTATCTACGTCGGGAGTACGGTATAATACCTTTAATATATATATATATATATATATATATATATATGTATGTATGTATACGTATATACATACATATATGCAAAGAAAAGGCTACCCCGGAAACTAAAGTTTCTCTGTCCTGACGTTTCAAGAGCAAACAAGCTTCCATCGTCGGAGATGAGTGTGGTGTCGCCTCTCACAGTGTTTATAGGTGGGTGACGATCATGTGAAGACGAGTTTTTCACATAAACAGTCAGGGCGGTAGGATGGAAGGGGCGGCCGTCGTTCGTACCTTCACTGACCTTAACCGTCGACCAAGGCTGTCAATCTTACTTACGCCGCCACGACTGTCCGTTTTCTTGTCTGTCGGACTAGTGGATGGAACGGCTGTTGTGACGACTGTGCCTTCGTCGGACCCAGGTTGAGGGGCGGCTGAGTGTGTATCCGCAATAGACTTGCTCATGCTTGGATTCATGTTTAGGCTGGGCTCGCGTTTGCTCTTTTGCTCATTGAGCTGCGTCTCGGGGTCTGGGTAGGCCGCAGGAAGCGCCACACGACGTTTGATGGAGGTTGTGCCAATGTGCCAGGCCTCGATCGTTTCCCTGGTCATGCGGTTGTTTCCTCGGGGAAGAATTTCGCCATTCCGGAGGCAAACGTGTGTCCGGAGTCGGTGCAGTATTCTGCCAACAGAGTCAGAGGATCTATCCTCCTGACTGCCCTCATGTGTTCTACAATACGAGTCTGTAGGCTTGTGGCGGCCAGCCATCATGACCAGTCTGGTGTCGTTGTTCAAGACCCCGCTGCCCCAAGTTCATTCGCCACTTGCAGCGAACCGTCCCAGACGAGCTGACCTAAAGCCACTCGACCGACTTCAGCTCGGACACAATTGCGTCCACACAGCGTCGCGGCTGCCCATGCGCCACTTGAACGCGCCACCCCCTGCAACCAGCAGAACAAGCCACTGAGACACCACCCCTCGGCAAATGCAACACACACCGATTGGAGACCACTTGGGCTTGGCCGACGAGCCTACAAAAATGGCTGCCACAACTGTCCCTGGGACTCTCAGGCCTGACTGGACGCAGTCAACACCAGCCCTGGCTTCGCCAGTGGCCACTGCCACCTGAGAGGACAACCCCGGGTTCTGTTCACAATAAACTCCTCATTCTGGTTGTTATGACCCGGTAGGAAGGTAGGACAGGAAGAGAGCCGGTTCGTAGGACAAGCACTTTATTGGAACTTGCGGACAGGAGGGAGTTCTAACTCGTAAGAAAGTGTGCTATTTATTGGCTCCCGTGCGTTCTGGAACATTCCGTCCAATGACGTGCCAGTCATAGAGGGCGTTCTAGAATGTTCCTGTCCCGAGCGTGCTGGTCGCTGATTGGCCACCGTGTGCGCGATGACCCCGCCGCGGAAACGTCTGGAATGTTCGGCCATCCATTGATTGGGCCGCACCCGTGAGCAAAGCCACCACGCGTGCTCGGCGCTGCAGTGCGCGCCGGTCGGTTGTCTAACTTCGCGCGTGACTCACGTCGCCCACTTGGTCCTTTGTTTGGCGCCCTAGGCCGTGGCTCTACGCCGCTTTCACTCTCCATAACACCTCCCGCTTTTGAAAGTTGGACCTCGTACCTCTTCTTCTTCGGGTCCAAGACCAGTTTCCTTGGCGGTTGCGTTCTTCTGCTACTTCTACGAACGACGGGTAATGTTGTCTGACTGTCTACCGTGGGGGTTGGAACCTCAAAGGTATCACACAGCAAGTCGAGTGCCATTTGACTGTCTCTGGTGTGTCTAATCCTGAGCTGATTTGCATGCCTTTTTATTTTTCCAGCTGCTGTCTCCACCTCGAACACAACACCTCTGGATTTTCTTACTATACCTTCTATCCAGGGCTTCTCTCCGGCTTTGTAGTTGCGAGCAAACACCTCCTCTCCCTCGCGAAAGTAATATTTTGTTGTTTGTGGAACTCGAGCTTCCGGTTGTAGGTACTGTAATCGCGTATCCGGCTGTCGTCCCAAAAACCGTTCGGCTGGTGTCTGGCCCCCAAGATCACTTTTTGGAGTTGTTCGATAGGCAAAAATGAATGTGTTGAGATACTCCAGTTTGACGCCAGTGTTCCACATCTTTTTCATCGCTCTCTTGAATGTGTCGACGAAACGTTCTGCCTGGCCATTTGATTGTGGATGGAATGGTGGTGACGTCACATGTCGAATTCCCCATTTCTGACACAGTTGTTGGAAGATTGATGACGTGAACTGAGTGCCGTTATCCGTCACAATCTCCGTGGGGATGCCGTATCTCGCTATTAGTTCTTCCGTCTTCCTTGCCGTGATATCCGCAGTAGCTGCCGAGACGTCGAAAACTTCTAGCCACTTGGACCATGCATCGACAACAATTAGAAACATTCGGTTGAAAAACGGACCCGCAAAGTCCATATGGACTCTACTCCAAGGTCTCGTTACCTCTGGCCATGGCACGGGCGGTACTTTCGGTGGGTTCTTAGCCTCACGTCCACACGGGCCGCAGCTTCGAACAAAAGATTCCACGTCGTTATCAATTCCCGGCCAATATACGTACTTGCGGGCCAGTTGTTTCATGCGGGTCATACCCTGATGTCCGGCATGGAGCTCCCGCAAAACTTGTTGCTGATATCTGGCTGGGATCACCACTTTACCATCGTACATTATGCAGTCTTCCGTGATATACAACTGTTCCTTTCTGTTCCTGAAAGGCTTTATGAATGAGTGTACTTTGTCGTCGCTGGGCCAACCGTTCCGAATAAACTCTTTCACCTGGCGCAAAAGTGGGTCTGCTGTAGTGGTGGCCCTGATGTGCTCGGCTGTGAGCGGCAACTGCCGGATGGCACCTCTAAACTCGTCATCATCTTGCATTAGCGTACTGGCGACAACCACGTCTTCTTGATTTTCGTTGCCTGTACTCAGTCGTGATAAAGCGTCCGGAGCTCCAAACTTCTGAGTGGGCACATATTGGATCTGAAAGTCATAGTTTTGAAGAATAGTACTCCAACGTTGTATTCTCCTAGCTACGTTCTGGGGAACACCACGGTTAGTACCCAAAAGGAACTTCAGTGGCTGATGATCAGTGTGCAGTGTGAAGGGTCTGCCATAAATAAACAGGTGGAATCTCTGTACGGCGAAAATAATGGCCAGTGCCTCCTTTTCAATCTGGCTATAATTCCGTTCTGCCTTCGTCAGTGACCTGGCGGCATGCATGATTGGCTGTACTCTCCCATCTGCGTCCTTCTGAATAAGGACTCCGCCTAAGCCGTAATCAGAGGCGTCTGCCTGGACAATGGTTTCTTTGTCAGCTTCGAAGTGCGATAGCATAGTTGAGTCGCATATCTTTGTCTTTATGGCATCAAACGCGTTTTGACATCCTGGAGACCAAACAAACTCCACGTCCTTGCACAGAAGTCGGCTGAGTGGAGGTTTTAAACTGTGCAACCCAGTGATGAACGGACCGTAGTAGCTGACCAACCCCATAAACGATTGCAGCTCCTTCGTGTTCTTCGGCACTTTCATGCTCTGGAATGCCTTCACCCTCTCTGGGTCAGGGGCACGCCCATTCTCGTTGACTATGAACCCGAGATAGTGGATCTCCTTCCGCAAAAATTCACTTTTCTCCATATTGATCTTAAGGCCGTAGTCGATCAGATTGTCCACAACTTGGTCCAGCCTTTGAGTCAGCTCTTCCTCTGAGCTACCGACAACCAAAATATCGTCCAGATATGCAATAGTCCCGGGAACATTCGTAAGCATCGTATCCATAATCTGCTGGAACACACTAGGCGCCGTTTTCACGCCGTAGTTTAGGCGAGTGTATCTGAAGAGACCCTTGTGCGTATTAATGGTCAAAAGTTCCTGCGACTTCTCGTCCACCTCAATTTGCAAGTAAGCTTCGGATAGATCGATCCTTGCAAAGACTTTCCCTCCGTTTAGAGTAGCAAAAATCTGCTCTAAGGTTGGCAGCGGGTAATGATAATCTTCTAGTGCGTCGTTCAGGCCCGTTGAATAATCCGCACATAATCGTATTTGTCCGTTGGGTTTCTTCACCGCCACGACTGGAGCAGCCCAAGCTGAATAATTGGTAGGATAGATTATGCCCTTTGTCTGTAGTCTTTCTAGTTCAGCTTCTACGGACGACTGTACCGCAAACGGGACTCGTCGGCTCTGCTTGAAAGTTGGCTTTTTCTCCGGCTTCACTTTCAAACTTATCTTCGTTTTCGTGCACCTGCCGGCCGCGTTCTCCATGCGTTCCATATACTTATTCTTCAGGACCTCCTCAGTAGTGTTGTGCACCGCGCTGCAAATTTCGTCAAAGGGACGGTTCCACAATCCCAGTTCGGAGATCGTCTTATTTCCGAGAAGATTGTTACGGGTCTTCGACACATAGACATCTGCGAGGCAAGTCATGTTTCGAAAACTGACAGTCGCCTGGAAAACGCCTTCAAATTCCATACGCGTCTCGTTCGACGCCCACGCTATGATCTCTGATGGTGTCAATTCTGGAGAACCGATGTCCTCCCATATGCGCATGCTGATTATGGTCAGATCAGAAGCCGTGTCTACTTGTAATGTGATCGGCTTTTCGTTAATCTTCACTGTCAGGTATTTCCGGTGTTCACAGTTGAGTACATGCGAATCGTCTTCTAAAACGACATGGCAATTCTTTCTTGGGCTAGTGTGCGCTGCTCTGCAATGTGAAGCTTTATGGCCAACACGGGAACATTTGTAGCACTTCCTACTACGATAGGGACATTCACTCACGTAATGCCAGCCGCCGCACAGCCAACAAGCCGTCTTTGGCTTCCGTGGAGAAACTCTATTGGTTGTGGTTGTCTCGATTGTGTGTCGAAAACGTAAACTGGCTGACTATTTGTGCTTCCAATAAGCCGGGTGTCTTGCTTGATATTTGTGATTCGGACACATTCCTCTGCCAGTTCCTGTACTGTCATATCGCCTTTCTGGTCTAGCTGGGCGAGTAACCGCGTGCGCACATCTGCATCTTCTGGCAACGTCAACGACTTAATGCAAAATAGTGCTTTAATCTGTGTGCTGGTGGCCTGTTCAAGCTCGGCTTGTTGAAAAGTATCATTAACTCGACCGGCCAAGTCAAAATAGTCTTCTTCAGGCTTACGTTCTAGCTTGAAACATTCATAACGTCGATAGAATAATGACTTTGTAAAACAGAACAATGCTTTCAAATGCTTGACTGTGTCCTTAAACGAGACATCTGATGGTTTCTGAGGCAGAATGAACTTTACGTACCGCTCGTGTTCCCGCTGGGCCAGTTTTAGCAGAATGATTTCCACTTTCGTCTTGTCGTCCAGTTCTGCTCCCTTCTCTTCGAACAGTCCTTCGTACTTTCGAAACCAGGCTTCGAAATTTACGCCTCCCTCTGGATCGTAAACGAACTCGTTGATCCGTTGTTCGACCTGTTTCCTCTTGTTCTCTCTGGATGCCGGTCCCCAATTTCGTTGCATTTCCGTGAGTAATGCCATGAAGCTGGCCTGCTGGGCCTCCAGTATGTGCTTCATTTGTTCTTCTGATATCATTTTGCTGCACCTGCGTCGCCAATTGTTATGACCCGGTAGGAAGGTAGGACAGGAAGAGAGCCGGTTCGGAGGACAAGCACTTTATTGGAACTTGCGGACAGGAGGGAGTTCTAACTCGTAAGAAAGTGTGCTATTTATTGGCTCCCGTGCGTTCTGGAACACTGGTGCCTTCCGTCTTCTCCCTACAACACTAGGATTTGCCCTGATTATTGTAGTGCTCAGACTCCACCCACTCACACCGCCTAGCCCCCTACAGGCCTTTGCGGGTCTCCCCTATGTAGTTGACTTCGCAGGAGTTACACTGAATCCGGTAGATGACGTTCGTGGTTTCACCTCGTGGAAAACGGGGCGCCTTAGGTCTCATAACCAGACGTCGAATTGTTGACTCCGGTTGGTTGGCGATGCCGATCCCCCAGCCGTCTTAGGAGATTCGAGACCGCCTCAGAAACGCCGTCGATGTATGGAAGCGCCCGCCATATTTTGGCCGTTCTGTCACCGAATGTCGGCTTGGTCTGGACTTCCTTCCACGTTCGATTAAGCTGCGGGGATACCCGTTGTCCACGAAGAGACGCTGGAGGTAGCGTAGCTCTGACCTTCTGTGGCCCGGCTCGCTACAGTATGTCTTTACCCTTCTATAGTGTTCGCCCACAACTGCGTTTGTGGCAATAACGGGTGCCTACTATGGTAACTCAGGATTTGGCGTGTATTAATGACCTTTCTCTACACCGTCGTCTTTAGGTGCCCATTGGGTTTTCGATGGGCGAGAACGCCCAGGAACGGCAATAGGTTGTTGATTTCTGCTTCCATTGTGAACTGGATGTCAGGTAAGGTAGAGTTCGGGACATCATTGAATTTCTGGATCAGTTCCCGCTTAACGACAGCGAAAGTATCATCGACATGTCGAGTCAAAAATTACGCCTTATGGGTTGCAAAAACTGGGCTCTCTACTTATTGGAGAACCGTCTCTGAAATGAAGCCCGAGGGCGGCGATCACAATGGGCCTCCCCTTGACTTGTTCGTAGGCTGTGCCTTCGAAGATGAAGTCTTCAGACAAAATCTCAGTAGTTAGACAAGAACCTCTTCCTTTTTTCATATATATATATATATATATATATATATATATATCAGGCAGAATGCTATTGCCGACAAAGACAAGGGAGACTGGAATGGCCATTTCTGGCTTATTAGCCGTCGTCAGCCAGCCATACCCAAGCCCGAAGTGTGGGACACCCGAGAGGCGTTGACTTCTAAACCAACAGGTCGCGAGTTCGAGGCTCGGGTGTTCTACACTTCGGGCTTGGGTATGGCTGGCTGACGACGGCTAATAAGCCAGAAATGGCCATTCCAGTCTCCCTTGTCTTTGTCGGTAATAGCATTCTGCCTATATATCATGCGCCGCTGTGCGGCTGCTGGTTGGGCTCGAGAGAGAGCCCTTAAGGCACAACGGAACGAGTGAGTTCCGTATGAACGATCGGTGAGCGCCCCTAACACTATATATAAATCAACATGAGTAAAGATTCGAGGTCCTGATAAATTATCCCGTTCATCATCCCCAAAAGAAGACGAAGAAGAAAAAGGGGCGATTGCATGGACCACAGTGTATTGGTGCTGACGTTTCGGAAACTTCCTCGTTTCCATCATCAGAGTGGTGGGGTGTCTGTTCCTGCTTGCTCGAAGTTGTTCTGCCTCGCCGCCTGTCTTGTGTTATAGGCATGCCTGACGCACGAACTCTGACCTGTCTTCTGGCTGGGGACTGGCTTTGGTCCCTCCGCGGGCGGCCAATGGCGCGCTCTTGTGGCCTCTGCCCCTGACCGGCTGTCGTAATAGCTGCAAATCCTGTGTGCTCATGGGCCCTCACCTCATAATCGGATGGACTGATCAGTTGCCGTTGCATGTGTGAATCACGCTCGGCTGTCTGGGCGCGCCGGTGGGGCGATGTCTCGCGTTGGTCGTGTGACCTCCGGCTGGCTCCTTCCCCCTGCTGTGAAAGTGACAACTGTTGGAGGAGCCGCGACTCGCTCGCCAGTACTGTCGGCCCCGTCTGGACTGACTGGAGTCTTGTACGCAGCGCCTGGTAGGCCGGATGAGGATCAATAGCCCTGTTGATTGTGCCAGCTGAGGACCAGCTTTCGAGCACCAGCCTAGCCATCTTGTCATGGGCTCGACCGAGGACGCTTGCTTCCCCAAAGGCGAAACTATGTTTCTCCTGTTGCATGTGGCCATATACCAGTGACAGTT